TTTACTGTCCTAAAACGTGATGATAGACACAAAAAAAAAAAAAAAACACATCATTGTAAAACCAATACATTCATCGCTCCGCTCAGAATCTAAAATATTATAAAAATAAAATATTAAATTATTATATTATATATAACATGAACTCGACATAAAATATTATGGTACAATTATGTAATTATTTCTTTAATTTTTAAATAAAAAATCATAATTAATACACAAATATGCAAAACGTGTAAGAAATATTCACGGATTGGGCGGGCGATATGCCGGGAATTTTACCGTTGGGCTTGCCTTCTGTGGTGTACCTACCTTTTTTCAACTTTAAAGTATATTAAGAAGTGGTTGAGAAGCAAACTATTTAACTATCTGAATCTAAACTTGAGCAGAGACAATCGCGACATCTGGGAAGATTCATGTTATCACTTACCACATTTGGTGCTATAAAACTGCTTTACCAGGGGGCGTTTTTTGTTTTGTTTTAGAACTTACTTAGGAATCTTAACGAGTTTAGAATGGTGGTGATAAAAAAGAAAATTTGAGAAAATCTTTGGTTTTTAATTTCTGATTTTTTGGTTTTTTTACCAGCGTGAAGTAGGTACTTACCTATATTGTATATGTAACCTTGCCAGTTAAGTATCAAGTTTGACAATTGACAAGTAATAGCTTTTTATGCAAGCAGTCTCCTGTTGCAAAACGCTAGGTCTTAGTGGCGTCCTCCAGGCCTCTCGGTTTAGTCCACAAAGAGGAGGGGACTAGATTAGGCCCCTTCTAGGGTTGGATGACTGTAGACCTAAGTTAATATAACGTGTAAGCTAAACGATGATATAACCAGTAGTTTGGCTTCAAGGCTAAGCGACAAATCCTGAATTCTGATTGCACCGTCGTTCTTGACTCATTTATATATCTACGTAGGATCTAAAAAGGTCACCTGGTAAAGTAGTTTTAATTTATACCAAAAAAATGTGTTAAGTGATGCCTTCGTGACATTCGAGCATTCATGAGCCTCGTAACTTGAGGCGTTCATCGAAAAATATCTGCTTTTTAGCTGTATGAAACAGATGAGATCATTAATAAAGTAACAAGTAAATGAAAAACATTAACCAAAGAAGTAAGAACTAGTGTACTAATCAATAAATTAGTTATAAATACATTTGATTTGAACAATTAAATTTATCAATAATGTATAATTTTTCCAAAAATGGCCAGTATACGTACAGATTTCCAGGGCCGAATTTATATCCCAATCCGTCTCTGGTGTAAGCATACAAATACACTAATTAGTTTTAAAAAAAAGGTGGGTAAGTGGATGTCGCTCTGCTGTACAGTAGGTTACAAGTGGGTCACTGTATAATGGATGCTATTAAATTTGAATTCAATGATTCAATATCATTGTATAAGAAAAACGATTCTGAGCGAAGACGGTATATCAGTCTAGGTTTAAGACAAATTATATACATATCTATGGTATTAAAAAAAAAATTGACCTAAAATAAATTCCAAATTAATCATATCACAATATCCATTAGGTACTTATAACACGTTATACACCAACAACAAACCCTGATACTATCATATATATATATAATAGTACACTTTAGAAGTTTCAAGTAGGTACCCACGAATAATATAATATAATCACAACAAAATAACTAGGTTTTTTAATATGTAATTTCGTCCAAATTTGAACATAAAATGACTATAAAAGTAAACTGTGATTGTATATTTTTTAGATTTTTCGGTAAGAGAATTAACTACTTACGTGGAATCTTGTTTTAAATTTTCAATCCTTAGCTATAAAAACTGAACATTTTATAATTTATTAATTACGATGATTAATAATTTTCGAGATTTTGAAAAATCCTGTCAAAATTCGATGTTAAAATGCTTATAAAAAAAAATTGTGCCTATGTATTTTTAATATTTTTCAACTGATATTGTAACAATATATCAGGAGCCTTGTATTAAATTTTTACACTTTTTGGCCCAACAGATAAAACTTAATTGATATTTATAGAAAAAAAAAACTAAAAAAATTGAAAACTGAAAATGTCCGTAAACGGCTCAAAAAGAGTCAAAATATTTTCAAAATTGTATGGTGTATAGGAAATGCTAATATAAACATTCAGTGAAATTTTCATGTATTTACACTAATTCGTTTTTTAATTACAACAAAAAAAGGAAATTGCCACATGAGAAATCGAGTGAATATCCAATGTTGTAAAAATTTGAATTTCAAACGCTCATAAAAATTTAATTTGACTTTCCGGTAGAGATTTTTTTATTGATAAAGGTAGACAATCTTATGAGTAATCTTGTATTAGATTTTCAAATCTTAGATTTAAAAAGAAAAATTTTTACGAATTCTTAACTCAAAATAATTTGCTTATTTTCGTGATTTTTCCATATTTTGTCAATTTTTGAACTTTAAATGCTTATAAAAAAAAATTGTGACTAAGGATTTTTAATATTTTTCATCTGCCTTTGAAACAATATATTAGGAGCCTTCTATTAAATTTTCAAGCTTTCGCAACCAACAAATAAAATTTTATTGATATTTCTAGAAAAAAAACTAAAAAAAAACGAAAAATGAAAATGTCCCTAAACAGTTCAAAATATTTTGAAAATGTTATCGTGTATAGAAAATGCAAATATAAACAACCAGTGAAAATTTCATGTATATACGTTCATTTGTTTTAGAGTTACACCAATAACCAAAGTCGATTTTTTGGAAAATCAATTTTGCGTAAAAATTCCCGTTTTTCCTTAATTTTTATGTTGTTTTTCCCGGCGCTTGTGAAAACTACTGGGAAATTTAAATTTTGACCTCCCCAATGCACCAACGATATTCACTTTCCAATCGAACAAGATACTGAAGTCGAAAATCGAAGCATTATTTCGACTACTTATCGTGTACACAGATACAAAAAAAATAAAAAAATAAAAAAACACACATCATTGTAAAATCAATACATTCATCGTTTCACTCAGAATCTAAAATGGCACCTTATGACACATATTAAAACGACGTAGGTATACTACATTTTATTTTGTTATGCATTTTTTTTGTATATTTAATTTGAAAAAAATGTTAAGTTTTTAAATATATTACATTTTTTTCTAGTTTGTTACATATATTTTTAAGTATAAATATAATAAAATATTGTTGTTCGCGGGTAGGTGGCTAACGTGCAGGTTATTCTGTGAGGACCACTCTTCGAGGACCTCCAGTCAGATCAGCAGGATAAGGCGTCAGTCCTAATTAAAACTGAAGAGACGTTCAGGATCTTCTACAAAATGGTGGAAGAGGTCCTGATTCTCAAAGCGGTGGAGGAGAGGGCATGGCAGGCAGCAGAAGCACCTGCACATTGATCACTCTAGCACGAGAGAGCTAGAGCGGCGGGCTCCGGCCAGCTGTAGAAGGGGGAATCAGAACGGGAAGTCTTGGGTGGCTGGCTCCGTCAGAGAAGAGAAGAGGGTTTTTGGTCGGCCTACGAAGACATCAAACTATGCTGGACAATCATATTATCTATATGCGAGGGGTTATTCCGGGGCCTGTCTCGGCTATTCCCATGTGAGTATGTGACTACGTAGTACGTCAGTGTAAAGATCTGTTAGGCATCATGGGGTTGGGGTATGCGTATACATATTAGCGATAGCTAAGTAAGGTATGCCACTTCCCCATGCGAGTCGAAAAACACATGTGTAAATATATTGTCATTAAATAAACGATGCTACACGGGGGCTAAGCAATGCGATAGAATTGTAGTATGGCCTCCATGTAGGGATTTTACAAGAAAAATTTAAAAATAAAAAAATTAAATAATGAATAGTAATTTTTTTCAACCACACCTTGACTTGTAGACTCGCACTTTGCATCTGTACATAACTATAGATAAGTGTCATGTAATATAGGTAATTATTGATACAAAATCAAATACTTGTGTTCACAATATTACAATGATACTTTTATGATTTGCTACTCCTTAATATTTTTGATGTAAGCACATAAAATTAAATAAATACCTACCTACGAACCTAAATATTGGATTTAAGTCAGCTTTTGAACATTTGATGAATCTGCCCCCAGTCTTTTGTGCTTACATCAAAAGTATGTCTCAAATTAATAAGCAGAGAATCAAAAAATTTGTCATTTTAAATATTATGTTCATAAGGGTTTGTATTACAATACATTTAAAATGAATCAATCATATAGAAAGATAGATTAATTTTAAAACGGTCTAAATCGGACAATAGGTACAGCTAGTGTAACTACAAACATTAAATATTGTTTTTAAAAAACTGATACATCATAATTTATTAATATTTAATAGTAGGTACCTATTATAACTATAAAATAAACACAATAATAATGAATAATTACCTATTATTATAATTTCCATCTTGAATTATATCCTGAAAAAATATGCTTGTTAGAGCCCCTTTTAAGATACACATAGGCAATAGAATATGCAGTATTGCGGTGTCAGCCCATAGAGTAATACCATTGATTTTATAATATTATATTATAGTATATTATAAAATCAATGGTAATACCACAGAATATACAATTACATACAAATACAATTAATTACTATTTAATTATTTGTTGAATCCGTGACAATACTCTGATCTCCTGTAGGTATTACGGTTATCCGTATAACCGTGGTAAGCATACAAACGGTAGTCGCTCGCGGTTAATATGTTTCGCCGCGCGTGCACGTGACCTCGCTTATCAGAGCTTTTTGTTGTATTTTCTTATCACCGAGCGTCTATCACCGGACGGCGGACACCGAGGCTCGTGTCCAGACTTCTGATTCGCATATGTCGCGTACTGACGTATTGTACACATAATTATTCATTCGTCACTTTTGCCGTTTGCGGATTTTCTGCCGTTTACCCATACCCGCGACTGCCGTTCTACGATCAACTACAACACCGGCACACGACGTACGTCTGCTGTTTCACGACCTGTCGTTTTGCAGTAGCTTCGATTTATCGTCATGAACAATATGACAGTGGCGAATGGTGTGGTAAGTGCTCGGACAACGGCGAATAGCGATATCGTAACTTCTTCGATCGCACATGACACATGTGCAAACTTACGCTTACCCACTTACTAATATTAACGTACAGGCCTGTCTACTCGCCCACCCACCCAAGTATGTTTCGAGCGGCCTACGAAATCAATAGTCGGAGAGCATTCAGATAATCGATTTTCGTTCACGGGTACCGCCCGTATAGTATTGTTGCGCTACAATTTAATCATACAATTAAAATTTGTTTGATAATTGTACCTACTGTATTTGATTATTCGTTTTCCTACGTGTTTGAATTATTTACGATTTATTACCTACCTACATAATTAATTTTTCTATGTAATTATTTAACACTCTCATATTATCATTTTTACTGTTCGTGCAATTATAAGTATAAATAAAAGCGTATTTATTTATATATATATAATTTTTCTTTTGGTGTTGGTATATTTTCACTTTCGTATTTTAAAGATAATAATTTCAATATACAATATTTTTAATACGTCTACCGAGATAAAAGGAGTGCTCAGAAACAAACTAAGGCTAGTCATACATTACTGTTACATCACCTATACGATCTACATATCAAAACACCGCATAGGTATGTCAATCGTACACACTCTTATTATCTTGGTCCGTGGAGTATATGCTATAGTATTTATTGTTAGCTGTCGTATTCTTTCTGTCTTCTGATATTTAGTTCACTAGATAAGTAGGACAGGATCCTAGTAAACTTACATATCACAATTACTAGTTTTATCTACCACTATAATATAATCCCTAACAAAAAGATCAACTTGTTAAGTTTGTGAAAGTATTTTAAATTATAGATCCTTCACATTTCTAAGAAAACATCAATATTCATAAATATTATGTTTACAGGGAGCTGCAGAACTTTCTGTAGGAGCTAGTCTACTTTCAAGACCAGCTGATGAATATGGAAACGATGCAAGTATTAATTAATATTTGTGTTTGAGTGCACTTTTTTAATTGTATATTTGTAGGGAAAAGTTGAAATGATGTGGGCCATCAAAGCATATGAACATGCAGAAATATATTTTAATGTAAGTACACTAAAATTTAATTTTTACATGAACTTAACTGAAAACCAATATACTTCAATAATATGAGATATTATATATGCTTATTTTATTAACTACCAACTATGCAATTAATGAACGTATATAATTGATGAATAATATACAATTTATAGTTTTTTATAATAAAAATAATTTTAATGTATTTGTAAAATTATACATAATATAGTAGCTATTATTTCTTTGATTTTAGTTGATATGTTCTGTTGATCCAAAGTTATTAAGATTGACTCCTCACGATGATAAGATTTATAAAGAATTTAGACGATTATTCCCTGATCTTCAAATAGAAGTTCTTGATGAAGAGGATGTAAAAAATGATTCATCTAAAATTGTAAGTATTTAAAATTGTATAATTTAGCAATAAATATTCTAATAATCTATATAAATAAAAATTAAATTCTGTTTATTGGTAATCCCGCAACTTCAGAACGGCTGGACCAATCTGGCTCATTCTTTTATTAAATGTTTGTAATAGTTCAAATAAGGTTCTTTTGAAAAGAAAAATTTGAAAAATTACCCAGAAGAGTACTTATACAATAATTCCCATTAGCAGTGTTGTGCTTGGATAAAAAAAAATGATCTAGATATAGATGGATAACATAATTTTTATCTAGAGAACTATGTAAGGCATTACCTCAAAATTTAAATTTATAATATTTTATAATGTTTAGCGATTTTGTTGGTGTTAATTTAATAAATTTCTATTATTTTTTTGCATATTTTGTAGTTTTAATTGCATATTTAGCAATATTATAGCACATATTAATTATGCAATTTTAAGTGCTATAAACTCCAACCCTGGACTTATTATTAATTAGTTATGGATTTTGTGAATTATCTAGATAAATTTATCTAAATGAAAATTAGATGTAAATTTTATTTGTTATCTAGACAAGATAAAGATATGAACTTTTTATCTAGATGAATTTAGCTAAATAAATTTAGCTATTGCACAACACTGTCCATAGGTTACTCGGGCAGATAAGGTAACAGCTAGTAAAAACATGCATCAAATTGAGATTTGAGGGTGCTTATAGCTTATTTTTACAACCCATATAGCCAGGGTTGCTCACACATGATTTTCTTTTCAGCTCACAAAAAAAGATTTTTATTTATTTAAATGGTTGATATTGGTTAAAATATTGATATTGGTGTATATTATAATTAAAGACTTAATATATATTCTCTTAAAACACATAAAATATAATGCTAATATTCTATAAAAAACTTTTAAATATTCTTATTATATTCTCTTAAAATTTTTAAAAATATGCAAATATAATCAATAAACATCATTACATCAATAATATATCATATATATTATATACTTAAATATTTTTTTTTTATTTTTCTCTGTCAAAACAAAGTATTTTTTGTTGAATTGTTCTATCCATTGTGTAAATAGGTTTTTCAAATTTACTGATTTTAATTTATTTAATTTATTAATTTTAAAAATTAATAATCAACTACGCGTAAATATGTTATTACAAAAGTGTAAAACAAAATTTGGATATTTGAATATTTGATAAACTTATACTTTGATCTTATCAGTATATGAAAACAAGTTCCAGCATTGCAGTTTAGCCACCATGTTTAGTGAACTGCACGATAACTTATGGTACTAGAACTGCGTGTTTTTTAAATTATACCATTTTCCTGGTACCGTAAAATTAAAAATAAATGAATAATTATTCTCAACATTTACAAAATATTCCAAAATATGTTAAATGGGTTAAATATTTCTTAATCCATGAAATTTTCTCAAATATTCAAAATAACTTTTTTTACGAACTCAGAACTGAAGTTTTTACTCTCATAAGACAGCATAGGTCCAGTAACAATATATAAAAACATATAAATCTAATCTTTAATTATTATACTATTATAATTAGTAGAAATATGGCATATACCTACATTTTTACAATAAACAATACATTTGTAAATACAAAACTAATATTTGAAGCGGGCTACACCGAGGGCCGGGAATCTAGTAATATATAAATGTGTGTGTTTTAGTGTTTGTATTTTCCATCATATTATTATTAAACCTACTAGAATAATTTAAAACTGTATATTTTTTATTGTATATATAGAAATGGAGAAGATTCTGCGATCTCTATAAGAATATGGAAAACTACAATTTTGGTACATTAATCAGAAAGGATGTTCATGGAGACTACAATGAAAGCAACAGCTTTATAGTGATAAGAATACAGTTTTACGCTATTGAACTGGCAAGAAATAGAGAAGGATTAAACGATATACATTTTATTAACAATATTTATGATAAGGTGGATTTTGAACCATAAAGATATGTATCTAATATATGCACGCACATTTATAATTTGACTAAATGGTTTATGTAAGTAACATAATATTGGCGATAAAATAAATTAATGTTTTTACTTGATCCCTATATCTGTTATTTAGTTTTTTCCCCTTTTAGAACGTATTCAATTAATCTTACACAGTTATACATGACTAGCAAAATTAAACCTACTTTGTATGATAAGAGTGTCTTCACTTGCCCATTAAGACTAAGATAAGTTAATTGTATTATGTTACATATTTAGTCATGATTTTTACAGTATATAATTCTACAAAGGCATCCATATAAATATTATTAATAAACTTAAATTTCAAGTCAATTCAATTTTATACACGTGTAACAATATGTCTTGATTTCAGCTTATTTGTTAAATGTTGTAGTTCAATTTGGACCTAATTATTAGGTATTTACTAAAAAAATTAAATGTAAATTTTTACCTTAAGAGATTCCACATTACAGTTTATTGGAACTAAGTACTCCTATGCCTGTTCCAACATACTGACTTGTGTCTTACTCCAACAATAGTTTTTTTAAAAAATTTGAATTTATTATTAAGTCTATTTTAAAAATCCTCTCACAGTTAGTGGTGAAAGCTTTACTCACACGCACACATGTGTCATAAAATCCATAACATCAAAATTATTTCATTGCAAAATGTTTTAATTTGAACCTAAACGTGTTCTAACGTACAGACTTGATTTATGACAAAGTTTATTTTGATGTTAATATTACTTTAGATCATTCGAGCCACATTTTAAATTTATTGTTCTTAAAAAAAACAAATCTCACTTAAAATCTACAAAAAACTCGTATTTTTAGAAAGGCCATTGAAGATAAAATAGTTTTAAAATTTTTTTATAATTCTGACTCAAAGAATTCAAAATGGACTACATAATCAATTCTAATATATTTAAAAAATTATTATCGGAGTAAAATTGAATTCAGTACTTGTATAGGTTTATTTTACTCCAAAAAATAGGTAAGTGGAGTCCCATTAAGAAAAATCCTTACTGATTACTTAAGGGTTATTACCTGTGGGACAATCTCAAAGGTTCCGCCAGATGTATGTGTATATTGGGAAAACTATTTGATATTATACTTGAAAAAAAAGTTCATCTAAATAATAGTAATTGGTATAATATTGCTTTAAAATATTTTTTTTACAGACATTTTGGTTACAAGAAACTTTTTCCAAAGGGTGCCGTGGTCATAAAATTTTGGGAACCGCTAATATAAATATTAATTCAATAACATCTACATTATCTTCGAGTGTAGGTGGGGTTAGAGCAGTGGGGTTCTTAACCAATGTGTCCCCAAACAAATTGTTTATTTGTATTGTACATATCCATAGTATGAATGTATGATATTATGAAAAAATTTTTGGGTAGGTAGTAGATAAAATCTAATCCAACATTATAGTGGCATAATTTACTAGGAATAATAATATATTACAATTATGTGTTTCATAAATAAATTTAATTCCCCAAAATTAGTTGTTATATTCAGTTATTTCAACATTTATCCAGTTCAGAGTATATTACAAAACAGCACATCCATCTATAATAACTTATGAAATTATCTCATTATTTGTAAATAATAAATATGATCTATTTTAATTTTAATTGATCTATTGACAGTGTTACAATATTGTACTATTTCATATTCACAATAGGTGTTTTACCTAAAATCACTATGGAGCTATTTAGCTGAATAATAATCAATATGTTTTTATCATACTAATATTTCCACCTATTAAAATTTATAATGAAGTCATTAATCATGTGAACGACCAATATCTTATCATTTATCAAACATCTCTTGTTTCATCGACTTCAGAAAATAGAATGACAAAAACCAATTTGGTGGTCTTAGTTATTGTTCTATGGTAGTAGTAAGATACGTATTTAATTGATATAAAATATTTTAAATTTCAAAAGAATACATAATATTATTCATACTAAGAATTTATTTATTTTTAATATTAATGTTTTAAGTTTTAATTAGTTCATTTCATATTTTAGTAGGTGAAGAATGTTACCCGCAGTTTTGGCCGCGAGAGAGCTTATTAAGAGGACGTAACACTGATATTTGTTGTCTCCGTCTTAAAAACCTGTAACATACCAAATTTACGCTTAGAAATTCACTTTTATGTTGTTAGTTTCAAAATTAGAGTGAATTTACCTATTATGAAACTCGATGGTAAGAGTATTATCGGTGCTCGTATGTTAGTTTTTTACAATATTTAAATTTTTTAGCAAGTTATGTATGTGTATATAATTAACCGTAAATTAAAAATGCTCATAACTCTCTTAAAAACTGAATTATTGTAAAAAAAACCACAGATAATGTTCTTACCTTCAAGTTACATAGTAGGTAAATTCACTCTAATGTTTAAACAATAAAGCTACAAGTGTTCTAGTGAGCTTAAATTTGCTATGTTGCGCACTGATAAGACGGAGACAACAATACCAGTGTCACGTCCTCTAAATATAGATACATATTATTGTAAATTTATTCTTTATTATTAAATGGCCACTACGGCGTATTTATTTAGTATTTGTATATTTTTATATTTTAACCTTGTATTTTGAATAATTTTTTTATTATTATTATTATTATTCAACAAACGATGCAACTGAGGTGTAAGTAATACTAAGCGGTCCTCACCTCAGTTGCGACACCACACGAAGACAACAAAAAATAATAAAGAACGTGTCATAAACCCAAAAGTATACTATAATTATTTTTCCAATGTAATTTAGAATTATAAATTATACAGTAGTATAATTTATGAGATTTAATGTAGGTAGTAATATTCAATATAATACGGTGTACGTAGTTTAAATAACAGGAAACTCAGATCAAAGGTGAAAACAACAAGTTGTTTTAACCTATTCACATAATAATGCAAGTTAACAATAATTAGAAGTCAAATTAGAATATAGAATATCACACTGCCATACTTCACTGTGAGAACTCGCATAAATACGGGTAGAGCACCTACCATTACTTAGAAGATAGAGTCAGCACTCTTCAAAGGTCCAATAAGCCTACGACAGAGCATCTAGTTATTTTAAAATAAAATTGTTTGATTATTTCAAATACCTATCTTTCTCAACAATACGTCTCATGATAACAACAAACATGCTACATTGTTTGAATAATTATTGTTGTATAGATCGTCGTGCTCTGACAGCGATCACTACAAATGTTAAACTTTACAAAACAGAATATAAATAATGTTTGCGCTAAATACAAGTGGGGAATTAAATCTCTATTAACAAAAAAAAAAAAAACAATTACAATAAAATGAATTGATGTAGTTATTATTTATTAAACACTGCAATTTTATATCAACACTACATTTAAACATACAATTCATATGTTAAAACTTATATAACACCTGTAAATAAATCAAATAATATTAATATCAATAATATCAGTATTTGGATCAATAACTATACAGTATACATTAAAAATTAACAAATTTAGGAAGCATCATATTATATAACAAACAATAACAAATTTAAAATGTAATTATTTCAATTCTTAAATAATCTGAATGTATACTATTACTTCATTAGCTATTATTTTTCAGATCTTATAGTTTGGAACATTTAAGCAAAAGTTTCTACATCTCCTTTAGTACTAATAACTTGTGTAATTAAGGCATTAAGAAATAAACTTAAATAAAATGGTTTTTACTTTATATAATACTTAGTTTTAGTCAATTATATACTATTTATATTTAAATATATCTTCCATTTTAATTTAATTTGTAAATTACACAAAACATTATATTATACATGACTGCATTGCACAAGTAGTACCTGCACACATATTATGTATGATTGTTCTGATTATATTGAGAATTTTATATAGATAACTGAAATACAAACAGAAAAGTAAACATTAGATTCATATTAGTAATAAAACACTCTATTCAACATAAGAAGTAGCTCAGGTTGGCAACCGGTTTTGTCAGTGACGTACAGATCACACACAACTGTTTGGCTGACTTAATCAGCCACCTATTCATAACAATGACAACCGCACAATTTGGACCAAGGTATTTCTTATGTTTAATAGAGTATATATCTGTATTATTACTTTATAAAACAAATACAAGCAACATCAGTCAACTATTACATTATCAGAACAATTGTAATGCCCTATTTACTAAGTACAAAATATACTTTGACTGGGAAAGGCACTACTCTGCCCTGGAAGAATAGTATTTTATTGAGTTGCCTTTTAAGTATTTATTAAAATTAATGGTAACTAAATATATAAAGTATAAACCTACATAAAAAAACTCTTTAAAACTTATTTTAAATTCAATTAAAACAAAGTAAGCAAAATTGACTAGGTAAAGGTAATCACATGTATTATATCTTTATACAATAGTATTCAATGGTAAGAAGTAGAAGAAATGTGAATTAAAGAAAAGGATGGCGCGGTATAGAGATCAATAGAAAAAAATTAATGTTTATGATATTAAGTATCCACTTTTAGTAGCTGAATGACCATGATCCCATTTGTCCGATACAATGACCTATAAAAAAAAACAAGTGTATATGTTATTATCTTTTGTATAATATATTAGTTAAGGTACAAAAACAAAATTATTATTTAGTTAGGTATGTTAAAAAAAAAATACCAATAGGTTATCAGACATGATGAAAAGCTAAAGGCACTGTTTCCAAGCTGCGACTAGTGATTGCAACAAGCAACATGATTGCTCTGCTATGGAACAGGTTTATGATCATAAACTTGTTGCGGCTAACCACTGATACTGGTCTCAGAGCAGTATATTTTGAGGCTGGAAGTCTCAACTTGGAAACCGTACATTAAGGTAAAGATAATCAAATTATCATAACAGGAAAACCTGACAAATAAAATAACTTTTATCTAAATAATATTTTCAAAATGTTCTTATTATATATAATTTATTGATGTTTGCATTGCATGTATAACGTTTTTGTTTTTTTAAATCTAGATATTAGACAACTTTTTATTGTAAAAACATTTACCATCATGTGGTTTATTCTTATGATTTCTTAAAATGTCAACATTTTTTGAAGTAAGAATCAATAAAATGAAAAGTAATAACTTTTTAAAAAAAAATTTAATAATAAACTACATGAATTAAATCAAAGTTTTTACAATGAACATTTTTCTAAACACCAGATTTACAAATTGGCTATTTTGAATCTTTCAAACGTTTTTTTTATTTTCAGTATTAAAAGATAAAAATAACTATGACTATAGCTAGTCATTAAATTATACATAAAAAAAATATCAAAATATTGTTTAAACGAAAATTATTTAATTTGTTAGGTTATACTCTGTATAAAGTATAATATATAAATAAAATAATGATAAATGGTAGTTATCAGTCTCAATCACTATTCACTGCTACTTTTACAATCTTAGAGTAAATTCAATTCTGTTATTGCAACTACCACACAGTGGCGTCCGCAGAGGAGGGGGCTAAAGGGCTGAAGCCCCCCCCACCATTGCCCGAATTATTATTAATTTTTCAAAAAAATATTATAAAGTTAATTAAGTAAAGTAAATTAAGTTAAACTGTTAACTATAGTAAACAAGTCGTAAATTTCATATATGTCTTACCAGAATGAATTCATTTTTGAAAAAACATTGTATTTGCATATCAATTTTCATAAATTATCTGTAATTTTTCGGTAAAAGTATGAACTACTTGTATGAAAGACCTTGTATTAAATTGTCTAGCCTTAGCTATATATATTTTATAAGTTTTGAACTACAAATTAACTGTGGTTTTGACGAAATTTGAACTTTAAATGCTTATAAAAAATAACCATGATGCATATGTATCGTTAATATTTTATCTATAGTAAAAAAACTTACGTATTACATTTTTAAGCTCTTTGACCGGATAAATATATTTTTATTGACATTTATAGAAAAATTTATTATCCAAATACAATCCAAGTGAAGACGGTATAACCAAACATTTAAATAAATTTTCATTTTTTTTCTCCAATTATTTTTAAAAGCACTGAGCATTTTCAATTTCGACCTCCTAAAAGTACCAACTAGATCCAATTTGCTTCCAAAAACATACACTGGGTATCGAAGCTTATGATCAGACAATTTTTTTTACCAGGAAAGTTGAAAAATTACAAACATTTTAAAATACCAAAAATAAACGTCTAAAATTATTAGACTGGACAAAATAAAAATAAAGTTGTAACTAATTTTCAAGCTCCCTCCCCATTGAAAAATAATGCGGACGCCACTGCTACCACAGGTCGCCTAACCATATAGGATAATAGGCGAAACTAGACATTTTTATTGGACTGGGCCACTTTCCTAATCATTCCAGACATGTTACTAATAGTAGATAGGAGGGGCTGAAAAATGTATTGATAAAATTTTTTTTAAAAGTAATTTGTGTAAATATATACACTTATATATTATGTGCATAATTGTATTAAGTATGATTTTTATTTTTTGTTTAAAATTAAAAGTAATAATTATATACTTATATAATATATTATGATGTTCGGTTGACAATAATTAGGTTTATGAGCATAACATACCATCGAACCTGTACGAGATTATCGGTCCCGACTGCCTACCAGAAAACATCATATCATTCCTTAAGGCATCAAAATTAGAAAATAACATATGATAATAATTAGAAATAAGCCACTAATATTGTAAAAATTTTTTTTTTCTCTTAAAAAGTTTATATTTAATTGTATATATCTCAAAAGCTAATGACCTATGCTGTCGAAGCTTAAATGCTCAATAAAAAAAAAAAAAAAAATTAGGTTAGGTTAGGTATTTAATTGAATACAGTCAAGCGTATAAAATATTTTATTATTATTGAATAATAATTTATAATAATGCTGAAAACGGTAGTGTAATTGAAATAGTACAAAAATATTTAGTTTTTTGTTTTATTTCGGTGCGTTAACACATCATAGCAACAAATTACAAAATAGTTTTAGCTATAATTTTATTGTATCAACATTTTTAAATTATAAATATTATAATTCAATTTAAGGTACATTATTTACAGTTGCATATACTATTTTCCTATTTAGCTTTTCCATGAAGTTGTGTACTTTTATAGATTGTCAATAAATATTGTTTCCATAAAAGTTGAACGTACGTTTTCAAAAACACTCGGAGAACAAATAAAATCTAATTCAATATACATTATATGTAAAAATACTGAAGTTAGTACCTTGTGGGTATATCTACAATATATTATAATCGAGGCTAATTAAGATGTGCAAAGGCGATAAAAACCATAAATTAAGTACTATAATATTATATGTGCGTTCCACATTTAAATTTTCTAAAAATGCATACAATCAGAAACTTCTGATAATAATAATGATTATTGTTTTAAATGTTTACATATTTTCAAATATATTTTGTTGGTATATGTCCATTTAAGGCGGCTCTTAGTGGCTATTATTTAAGGGGAACAATTTAGGCAATTTCTAATCTTGTCGTCGTCGCCCGTAATCTTTGTGTTAGTCGTAAATGATTATTAGTGTGAAATTCGAAGAAATTCGAACTCGATAACAATAGATTTTATATCGCCCGGCTGTGGGCACATAGCACACGTACGCGCATGCACAAGTTAAGGTAATCACTCTCGAAAAATATTTTTATACACTCACAACAGTGAAAAATGCTAATAAGCTGGCGAAAAATACACATACTTCTAGTAGAACAATTTCAATTTTGAAAAATTATTTGAATTTGTCAGCCTCTTTTCTATGATTTGTAGGAAACCGATTTTGGATATTTTAGATAATTTACGTATATTACGGTTCCAAATGACTGCTTGATTTCTCAAATTTAACTTGCACTTTTAAGTGCTAACTAGACAAAAAGATGAAAACGTTTTTCCTACAGATCATAGAAAAGAGGCTAACGAATCCAAATAAGTATTCAATATTAAAATTTGACTACTAGAAGTATGTGTATTTTTCGCTAGCTTATTGGTCTAAACGCATGAAAAAACCAATCGTTTAGAGCCGCCTTAAAATAATATTACTTATAGGTACTGTTATATTAAAATGGTGCGCAATTAGCTTGGGAAAGGCCCAGGCTGTAGCAGTTCTGCCTATGCATAGAGTAATATTAATTGAAGAACATTTTTTAATGTGCAAGACAAAATAATATAAATAGGTTTGCTTCATAAAACTGTATGAATAAAGCATAATTTGTCAACAAACAAATTTCCTGCAGCATTAGGTTATTAGTTACCTTTTTAAATTGATTTTACATTACGTTTTTAAAATATCTGTTTCCGAAATATATTTTGAATTTGTGAAAAATAGACTCAAATCTTATATTAAGTACTATAGTTAATAATCTAAGGACAAGTCACAGCAATTTTTATGTTTATGGTAAATCCCAGATTTGTCAAATTGATTTTTACAGGGAATTGGCTGGTTGGTAGTCGTGCATTGCTATTCCATGCTTTACGTTTAATGTTTTCTTGGGAAGTCCTGTTTACATTATTTAATCTTGTAGATTAAAAAATTGCTTTTAAAAAATGTAACATACAGTACTACAGTAGTCACAATAACTGAATTGAATTTACCGGAACTGTAAATATTTGAGATAATTTATAAGCACCTATGTAATATCCTCTTTTATAAATAAATTCATAAAATTTGAATTAATCCAATTGCATAATTTTAATTTTTTTTTTTTGAGGAGTGCAAAATATAATAAATATTCTGTATGAACACAGTATGGATTAGCCAATACTAACTTCTCTATTTAAAAAAGTTACAAATATTAAGTGCTAAAAATTATTTGAATATGCTAGTGTGAAGAGTTAAAATAAGATTTGACTCCTACATTTTATTGCATTACAGTTGATTATTACTTGTTACGTATTTATAATATAATTAATTATTTAGTTAAATCCAAGCTAGCTAAAAAGAACAACACTAGTAATAAAGCTTAATTCCAACTTATTAGAAACTTACTTTATTCCATGGCCATAGATTAAGTTCATAAGTAGTATACAAACCATGCATAGTGTGTGATAAAAATAAACTACATTATACACAACTTTCTAAATGATGAATACATGCTAACAAACTATAAAAAGATGATCTGTTTAATATGGATGAATATTATAAACCAACATACCATCTTCATCAAATGTAGCCAGTGTCAACTTATTTAGTTTATTGCACAATCGCGATTGTGGTTCGCTGCGGAACAAATGTGCCAAAGGTACTTGAGATCCTATACATAACATATTAAATTAAACTATTTGATATACAAAATATAATTAAGTTGATTACCATCGCCAACAGAAATATGTTCAAAGCCACCAGTTCTATCTACATCGTCATATTCATTCATAGCTAATTTGTGTCTAAAATCTTCAACGAAACAGGCAATTAGTGCATCTATCATGACAGCCTATAAAATAGGGTATTTTGAAAATCAACTCCAAATGGTTTATGTATTATGAAACACCAGTTAAATAATAATCGCTATATTTACTTGTTTAGAAAATACTTGTAAAATTTTTGAAACTCTTGTTCCGTTTTCTAATACTAAAAACTGTAGAAATATACATGGTAAACAATGATCATTATCTTCTTGAGATGGCTTAGCGAATTCCCATGAAAAATCTTGATACTTAAGACCCAACAATAAACTCTAAAATCATAAAATAATAAAATAGATAATCTACAAACTATTACAGAAATTTATAAGAAATTACATTTTCCACACAGTCCAAGATATAAACTCCTTCGGTGTTGACTGCAATGTAAATAGGAACATCTTTATGGTTAATTAAAGACATCAAACCTCGAACAGGTTGTTCAATTTGACCATGGAAAAACGCACACCTAAACACATTTTTAATTAATTAATATAAGTTGTAAAATACCTAACTAAATGTTTATTTGATAAGCAACAAACATGTAAACATAAAATAAACCCTGAGGAAATTCTAGTTGTACTGTACTTCAATTCAAGGGAGGCCATTAAAGAGTTAAAATGTTAAAGTTAAGTAAAAAGTTAATTTAATTTAAACTCTTTTACGTAGCTAGTTACTTTTGGAACTTTTTGCTTTTGTGCGATGTGGGCCTATCATTTTATCTCCATTTTAATACTCTATTTAAAACGCACACACACAATAATAATATCTGTATGTATGCAAGACTTAATTAAATAATATAAATTAATTATTAATTATTAATAATTAGATAGATAACTACAATGGTTCTTTTTTTAGAAAGAAACACTTGAATGACATACTGTAAAATTCTGCAAATACTGTATAAAGTATAAACACTATAGTCCAGGGGTGGCGAACCTATGGCACGTTGGTCAAATTTCAATGACACGAGAAAAATTAAAATTATAAACAATTATGCTATATATAATATATATAGATAACATTTTGGTTATAATAGGATATGTAGGATAACAGCCATACATACGTGACACGTTTAAACCGACGGAAAAGCATTTAATAAATCCGTAACTTAATTTTTTTGCTTATAGAAAATATAATTTACTTTGAGCACATGAACAATTTTCAAAACCTTGATTTGAAAAGTTTGGCACTTGACCCAAAAAAGGTTCGCCACCCCTTCTATAGTCTATGAGTTAGTTTTGGATTGGAAAAAATAATGTACACTAGCGTTGTATAAAAAAAAAAATTATTTAAAAAAATGTGTATTAACTTTTAACTTAACTGAGTTAACCAAAAATTAAATTTACTTCTAACCGGGCTTTTAACTATTTTTATGGATGAATATTCACTTAATTAAACCGAGTTAAAAAAAAAAAATCATTAACGTGCCCAACCTTGACTTAAATTCTGTATAAGTTTAGAGCATGAGTTTACCCTAGGCCTGCACACGAGAATACTCAGTGAGACACAATATTCTTTTTTTGTGAATTAAATGAATAATAATAATAATAATAATAACAATAATGATTGGGACTTTAGCATAAGGATTTTTTAAGGCTATAAGATGGTCAAGGTTTTAAGATAATTTTATTTTCTTTAGCTCAGATATAAAAAGAAGTTGAAAGGCCTGGACTTAATTTTAATAATGGGTACAACCATTAAACACAAAATACGCTATTTAACGGTTACTATAGAGAAATTATTCCATTATGTTAGTGTATACCTAACTGAATCAGTTGTTTGAGGAAAGCGATTAGTCTAAATAAATGAAAGTAACTTTTCTTACTGATTTCTATTGATTCCTAAAATGTATACCGCTATTAAAAACTATTTTAAAAGATGGGCGGGATTCTCTTAAAATATGTAGATATACATATGAATAATCCAAACCTGAAATGTAACAACTGATTCAACTATTGTAAAAAAAAATTAAATATTTATGCATATATTGAAGTTTATTGATTATTGTAGCATATTTTTCTAATTTTTAAGAGAATATAAGGAAAATATTTGTAGATTTTTAGAGCATATTAGCATCATATTTTAGGCGTCTTAATAGAATATAATTCCAAACTTTAGATGTGATCATTTTAAATATGTAAATTGATTATACATTTTAAAGTGCTTATAACTTTTGTTTCAAAATTAAAATGTTATGAAAAGCCTGTGGGTATACTTAGTTAATTTTCCAACCTTTAAATTTGATAATAGATGAACTCAATCTGATGTATAAAATAACAGTAAAAATGACTATTCTAAATACAATTTGCCATGTTATACATTAGTAAGACTGAGACAACATAACAAATTTGTGTTCAGTAGTTTTAATTGTGTGCAATGTTTGATATTAGAGTGAATTGACTTATTATCAAACCTAAAGATAAAAATACTATCTTTTTTCTCATGAGATTTTTTACATATTCATCACTTGTAAGATGGAGACAACGCAGTAATTGGAAAACAAATCCAAAAAGCAAATAATTGTACATCTTATAATATTTAAGACTCGCCTTAAAATTAAATTATAATAAAAAGCTTATGATATTGCCTAGATAATAATCTTACTTTTAAATTTTATAAGAGATCAAGCACTATAATTTTTAAACTAACGTACAAATTTTTGTTTTTTTTTTTAAATAAGTATTATTTTTTTATATGTATAATTTAAGTGAATTAATTATTTATATATTATCTTACTGTGTAAGTATTTTTGTTTACACATGGTATATTAATTACCATTTCCAATTCATGAAATGGATAACTTTTCATGAATAGATCCATTTTGTATACGAGTAGTTATACTGCTTCCGATTAGACATCAAAATTATATTATAATAAATAAATATTAAATATTATGTTATAAATTATAATATATTGTAAAATGTTGTAATATAACTATTAAAAGTATCCAACTGACACTTAAATTTTACACTAAAATCTAGACAAATTTGTTACTTGGAATCGTCAGAATTACCTCCTACTAAATATAAATAATTGTAGTGTTATTACTATTTCTCGTCTAGATAAATTTACTACTTATAATAAATTATATAATTAATGTTTTTAGTAGGTATATAACATATTAATACTTAAGTTAAAAAATCATTTCAGATGTTAGAATTCATAAACAGGGATGGAATTAATTTTAAAAATATTGACTCATTTAAAACATTATATTAGTATATATATGATTTGTTTTATCCAAATTCGTTGTGTTTAAATTTTGGTTGTTTCATAAAATTTAACATCTATAATTCTTACCCATAAAATGGTAGCATGTAACAGCACTCTAAATATTTGTGGTAAAGTCTACGATCAGATCCAGTTATTTGTATATGTTTTAAATGGTCTGCTAGCCGAGAATGAGGTGTACTTTTTCTATCAAGATTTAACCATGATGACCAGCTTTTGTATAGATGGGATGGTAAAAATCTTTCCCGGTTATCTCTATAAGGTTATTGCAATAATTAGTTAATATAAAAATAAGGTTCTTATATTTTTAACACAACAATATTGACTTAGAATCTTGATAAAAATTAATTGTACAAGGTACCTAAAAAAACTTGAGGTGTACTGTTGTAAATTGTTTGGACCTAATTCTATTCGGCACTGCAAACTAGCTAACATCAAACAGTGGTTCACTTCAACAGGATACCGACCTTGTAATACATTATATTTAGCTTCAGCATACAATAGCTCAATAATTTTTTGGTCCCTTCAAAAAATGTAATTTTAATAAAATTGTTGAAATATATGCAAAATACACTCACTTAATTTTTTCTTCATCTTTTCTGGGGAAAAAAACATTTCTTTGAAAACTCAAAATGGGTTCTTTGAAAATAACCTTTTTGGTTTGAGTGCAGTATTTTTCTTCAAGTGTGGGCCATTTTTGAAAAACTGTCAATAATTTGTGATGCGGTTTTAACTGGATTTCTGAAAAAAAAACTAATAGGTACTAACATTTTAGTATATTATATTATACTTTATATTTATTTACCTAAAACGTTTGATTTCATCCAAATTGTAAAAATATTCTTAGCAATTCTTGATAATCCCAAATTTTTTTGCATTATTATAATATCAACAAGATCTGATACTGTAGTTGTGTTTGCATCTTCTATATCCATATGCAAGACTATATCAGCCATTGTGTAAATATATACACTAAGTGCTATAAATAATTAATCTTAAGTAGGTACGGTAGTTTACTTTAGATATTTAGATATGTTAAAATTTATTTTAAAGGTGTTGAAAAGACTTATTAAGACTTATTAAGAAATGTATTAAATAATTTTAGCCTTTTTTTTTTAATTGATCATATACATTATAATTTAAACAAAAGGTTACACAATAATTATTATATAACATAATATTTATAAAATAAACATAATTTACGGGGTACAAGACAATTTATGCAAACTAGAGTTTAACAATCATAAACCACGAAGACATAATCAATAATTCACAGTTATATAACTGTTTGGTTTAATTTATTATAATAATACTCACGTTTCTTTATAGGTTTTGGAGCGGTTTGGAATGCTAGTGGAGCACTTATTATTGGCTTGGAACATGACTGTATAGGGTCATTCCGAGAATGATTGTGAGATCTTTTGTGTTCCAATGATCGTTTCAGTTCTTTTCTCCGCATAGTACTTGATTCGGTTCTTACTGCTCTCGTATGGGGCCAATTCCGGTTTTGAGGAAAGTCACTAACACAAATAAAAATCTAAATTAGTATAATTAATCACTGAATACACATTGTAATATTACCTGTATTCATCGGGAGGCCGTATGAACTGTTGCCTGTTTCGAGGATACTCAACAGGAACAATCGTAATATATTTATCTGTTTCCATTTTTTGTTCGTTCTAGCTTATTTCACAATGAACTACGTAGAGTGGACTGGTAATTTATTTAATTGCAATTTATCTACAGTAAAGCTACAAGTAACAACAGGAAGCACGACACGTACATGAACACAAATTCTTATTTTGGCTAAAATAGGCTAAGCACACAATCATAATAATATTGTATTATTGACCGTCACAATCATGATAAAAAAGTTGAACGCAAATGCAAACGCAAGTTTCTTATACAATGATAACGTTATCTTATTATCAGAGTGGGTGTGTGTAGGTATATAGAATTTGTGGCACAGATATAAAATCTGTGATTTGTGGTGTGTTGTGTATTTGGGTGTGTTTTGTATTTGTGTGTGTGTGTTCGTTTGTGTGTATTTGCCATGTTGGGAACAGATAACAAAAAAACCATCTGGATAAAGATAAAGATAAATTTTATCATGGTACCCAAAATGAATAACCACAACTAGGATACAGATTAGTGATAACCACCGTTATAGGTAGATAACTGTGGTGATAACTGATAAGAGTAATGAAGTGTTATTATAATATATAAATTTATTAAATAGTACAGTAATATTCAAGAAACTCACTTCCGTTCAGTTTGGTCAGAAGACTGGATCCACAATTATACAGCTTGTGATTTTCATTATTTATTTAGAATGTTACAAGACACATTTGATACATATCAATACATTCAATTGAAGACCGGTTTAATGTTTCATAGTCAACTGTATATAATATTGTACAAGAAGTTACAAATTGTTTATGCACAAAGCACAAATATGGCAAGACAATTCATTAAATGGCCAAGCATCGAGGAATGTGTTATGATTGAAGATGAATTTAGAATGAAAGCGAACATACTTGGTAATTATTATCTTATTGTTTACTTGATACCTACTTTAATAAAGTATTTAAATTTCATGAACAGGTGTTCAATAAGGGCAATCGATAGTTGTCATATTAATATTATAATAATAATAATAATAATATTAATATTATTAATATTCCAACACTTCCCCTTAAACAATATACATTTATACATCAATATTTATAACTCCTAACATTTCCCTTAGCTCATTGAACCACGTTCGTGTAGTTGGCTTGATCATAATGTTCGCAATCTGCTCCTTGCTGGATATGTACTCCAATGAAAACAATCAATCATTGAAGTTTTCTCTTATATAGTGGTAGCAAACATCTATGTGCTTTGTTCTTCTATGAAACTCTGGATTGTTTACGCGTTTAATCGCTCTTTGATTGTCTCCATACATTGTTGGCACCCATTTTGGTTGGTCCAGCAATTCACCTAAAAACAGTTTTAACCAAGTTAATTCTTGTACTGCTTGACTTAAAGCTATGTACTCTGATTCAGTTGTGCTAGGAGTACAGTGATGGACCAGTAACCTTTGATTTTGTTACTTAAATATTAACCAGTATAATACTTTTTAAAATGGCAGTTTTTATTTCTCTTTGCGCTAGAAATTGCTTTTGTGTATTGAAAAATAAGAAGATTGTTCAAATTAAAAATATAATATTGTTTAATAACAAAACTAGTTTAATTGGTGAAAATTTAACGAATGTTAACTATGACTTGGATACTTCTCGCTGCAAATCTGTTAAGTTAGGCATTTATTGTAGTAAAGTATAGAATACATCTGACTGGTCTTGTGGGTTATTTTCATTTAATATTGACAATATAAAATACAAGTCTTGGTTAATGCATTATAAAAATAAATATTTGCATTTTCCTTTTATTCATTCTATTAATTACAAAAATTTTAATTTACTTGTATTAGCTATATACGTAGTTATAATATGTAAAAGTTAAAACTTGTGCTATTTGTACTACTTCATACAGTTACAAATTGAATAATGTATTGTATTAAATTATTTTAGGGTAAACTGTTCCAAATTACTAAAAATTGTATTTTAAAAATTATTACTAGGTTCTTTCAACAAGCATTGGTCGTCAATGGAAGGAGTGTTGGTGTGATCTTTGCGAACATGGATGCAGTCAACAAATACATAGAAGAATTGGCCACTGTGACATTGGTTGGGATTGATGGGACGTTCAAGACTGTGCCTCGTGTTCCAGCAGATTTGAAATGTCTCCTTACTATCCAGGTGGTTTTCAAAAGTGTAGTAAGTGTTGGATAATTGATATTTTTTATGAATAATCTAAATTCTTTTTTCTTAACATATTTCTCACTATTTACTTTTTATTTTTTTTTCAGTCCATTCCAATGGTCTATGCTCTACTGGGGAGCAATAGTGAGTGATGTAGGAATGTGCCTGAGCCTCGAGGAGATAACCTATTTGGAAAAATGCAGTGCTGCTCCAATTCATCATTATATAATTATTTAAGGTAATGTTAGATGGTTAATATTAATATTATGATATTGTAATTTTATTTGAATAAAAGTAATTTTTTTAACAAAATTAAGTTTAAGTTATATTTCACATACCTAAGTACTTTGTCGTAATGTTTAGTCGATTGTAGCCTGTATGCTTAACTTCAAAGAATTATTATAATATTGTGCACCAAATGGCAAATATAACATATTCTATTATATATAATGATTTTTAGAATGACATTAGTTAACAAGAGTTTTTCTTACTCGAGCCTATCTGAATAAGTTTTTGATACTGCTTTTTATTTATTATATTCATCATTTAAGTTACTTACATAACACTTCAATGGTTAAAGTGATGTACTTATGTTACACTTATAATATATTATTCACAAATCTTATATTAATTAGTTTGTTTTTTTGTTTGTTATAGACAACAAATAAGAGCTTGTTTTGGATAAACAAGGTAAAGAATATTAAGAATATCTTGGAACTAACATTGACTTTTCAACTATGATTCAGCTCATACATCTTCTTTGGACAATCACAAGTTTTTATTTTCAGCCAATTAATTTTTATCCTTACTGTTAATTTTTGTATATTTAACTGTTATTGGTGTTTTATTTACTTATTTTTTAACAAAAACATATTATGGGTAGAATTTATTGACAAAATGTTAACCATTGTAATACATTATACAGACATAAATTTTCTAAATTTTGGTGCTGGTCTAGTTGACCTCCGCCAGGAAGGCAATTCCCCCGCCACTCAAGTTTAGTTGACGCCCGCCACGGCCACTTACATTTTGTATTTTCGATATCCAATAATTCATAATTTATACAATATTATACATTTATTAAAAATTATACAATTATGAACAATTCAAGCGATCAAAATAAAAATATATAAAAAATATGGTAATACTTCATAATATTGTTTCGGCACCCGCTGTTATACCTATCTTATATAATTCATTTTACTACACGGATTTTACCAAACATAATTCTTAAAATATCTAATTAGAGAATTTCACCCAAATACCTAACGTATATGATTTCGTACCTTTTTTATCTGCACTCTGCAGTATATCAGTATATTATACATTTTATAACATCAATAATATGAGAGATGTAGGTAAGTGGCGAGCGTCAACTAAACTTGAGTGGCGGGGGAATTGCCTTCCTGGCGGGTCAACTAGACCAGTACCTAAATTTCAAACACAATTTATTTAAAATAATAGTTTTATTAATATAGTTGGAAGTAATACTTCTAGTTTTAATAATATTTTGAATAATTTGTTTTTCTAATAAAATTGAAGGTTTCTATTCTATCAAATATCTAGGAATATATATTAAGTCCCAATTAAAATAGAGCATACATATAAACTATATTATAAATTTAGGTCGTAAATTATTTTATGTTTTTAAAGGCTAAGGCTTATTCTTGATAAACAACCACTTAGAATTATTTATGTTTTCTTCATTCAATCAATAATTGTATTTGGTATTGATATACCTATGAGGTGGTGCTTATGAAATCCACTTGAACAAATTAAAATCGACTATAAATAAATTTATTAAATTTATTTTAAAAGTTCCTATTCTTATTTGTACTAAATTTATTATTAAAGAATTAAATATCTTAGATTTTGATAAGATTCTCACTAAATGTATTTTACTATTAAGTTTTAAGCATCAAATGTATTTACCAACTTATTAATAATAATATTTATTGGCCAAAAATTTAATATTAATTACATAGTTAAATGGCCCATCTCACCACTGAGGATAACCTCTTATCGGTGATGATGGAGTACTATTTAAAGATGAGTTTGAATTTATAAATTTTATAATATTTTCAAAATGTTTTGTATAAACTGCATCATATTTGACTTTAATTCAAAACCATAAACTTGTAAGCATAACTATAATACCAAATTTAAAAAAATATGTAAATACAATTGTGATTAAAGTTGCCTAAATCATAAAATTTCGCTTAGTAGAAATATGGTAATAAATATTAATCAATTCACTTATTTATTATAAACATATTTTACAATTTTCTATAATGAAGAAGATTAATTTAGTATGAATTTTTACGAAATACAATGTATATTATATAATTAATATTATTTAAGTATTAATCAAGTATTTATAGACATTTTTTATTACTTTGTAACTATATTATGAACTCAAGCATTATCTTAAAGCAGAGGTCGGCCACTGGCGGACTGCCTAAACCAAAACACTGGACCCTGTCAACATAATATTGTACTTGATTATGTTATTTACTGTAAAAGTATATGCTATGTATTATTATTATTATATTATTTTACTATAATAATTAATAGAAAATATATATTTCATTTCGTTTATCAAACTCCGATTATAGTTGTATCATAATTCATTGCAAATATTTTTTCAGGTAGGTAATAATCTGTTCTGTTCCGAATCTCAAAAATACCAAATATACAGACAGCGTTAAATTATTATCATTATTATTATTAACCTAATAGGTATTGTAATTTTTTAATATAAATTAATTGGAATACCAACTGGATAATTATTTTTAATTTAATACTGCTATTTTTTAAATATAAAGATTTGACGAATATTAACACTGGACCTCATTGATTTATTA